GCGGTACCCCCCCGCCCCGCTCCCCCCTCGGAGCTCCCGGGGTAGATCTCTCAAAATAACACCTACTGTCCCTTTCCGCGAATCGACGACATCTTTGCAGTAATGCGGAGCGGCTCAACATTTTCTCAGCTGGATCTCCCACACGCATACATGCAAGTACCAATTGACGTAGAGTCTCGAAAATATCTCACAATCGCGACGCATGCCGGCCTGTTCCGATACACAAAAATGATGGAAGGTACAGCCCTTGCTCCAGGCGAGTTTGTACAAATCATGGAGGAATATTTACAAGGAATCCCTAACACTATCGCGTACATGGATAACATTTACGTAACGGGCCAAACGACTGAGGAACATTTTGAAAATTTGAGACTGGTTTGCTACAGGCTAACGGAGCGCGGATTAAGGCTAAACAAGGATAAATGCGATTTCATGAAAGAGCGCATAGATATTCTGGGATTTGTGATAGACAAAGACGGCCTGCACAAATCCAAAACAAAGGTTAAAGCGATGTACGAAGCGCCGCGGCCGGAAAACACTAAACAGCTGGTCTCATTCCTTGGGCTAATCAACTTCTACGCGAGATTTTTGAAAAACAGATCAGATAAGTTACGACCGCTTTTTAATTGCGCAAACAAAGAAGTTTTCGAATGGACCAAGGAGTGCGAGAAGGCTTTTTGGTGGGTTAAAAACGAGATGATTTCCCCGCGAGTTCTAGCGCACTATAATCCAGACGAGCAACTGATACTAGCGTGCGACGCGTCCCACTACAGGCTCTCAGCGATTCTGTCACACAAATACAAAGACGGCACGGAACGGCCAATCGCTTTCGCGTCGAAACGTATCCCAGAAAAAGAGCTGAACAGGGCAATAAACGACAAAGAGGCATGCGCCATCGTTTTCGGATTCGTTAAATTCTACGATTTTGTTTACGGTCGCAAAATAACTCTGCGCACCGATCATAAACCGCTTGAAACCATTTTCGGCACAAAGAAAAACATACCACTGACGGCGGCAACTAGATTACAACGCTGGGCAATTTTTGTGTCAGGGTTCGAGTATGACATCGAATGGATTAAATCAGAACAAAACGGGAATTGTGACGCGCTATCGCGGTTATCTATCGAGGACAAGACGGAAATATTTGAATCAGACGTTACACAACTTCATTTCATTACCGAGGGCGCGAAAGTAATAGACTACGGGACTGTTGTCCACGAGACAAAACGTGATCGGGTCTTATCGCGAATAACAAGGTTCTGCGTTTTCGGTTGGCCCACGGACAATAAAAAGCTCCCCGAGGAAGAGAAACAGTTTTTCACGAAGCGTTATGAATTATCGATTGAAAATAATTGTTTATTCTGGGGATATCGAATAGTCATACCGGATAAGTTACGAGGTCAAATTCTAGATGACCTACATTTGTCGCATCTAGGAACGATCAAAATGAAAGCGTTAGCGCGGTCTTACGTTTGGTGGCCCGGCATTGACACCGATATTGAAAATATGACGAACCAGTGTAAAACAT